TATGCCTTGGTTTTGGCGTTTCGGTGCTGAGCCTTTCGAACACTGAAATTCTCTCGGGGACTGCCTTGATGCAGTTGCACTCAGACAGTACCGCCCGAATGAGCTTTGAACAAGGGCACTGAGTTTCTAGCCTTCGAGGACTCCTCTTTCTGGCTTTGCTCGTACCCCAGCACGATAGTACAGCTCTTCCGTTTGAAAGTCGGAGCAACCTATCGTGTGTTGGCACGATTTCTCAGGTATAACGCAATCATCATCAGACGATAAAGTTTCATTCTGAGAGTGAATTACCTTCTTCGGACTTTCGAGAGTCACATGCCTCGAAACGCGCCTTTGTGGGCGTGAATTCTCAACGGGCTCCTGAACTTCGATGCGCAAAGTAGTGCGCTTGGGTGCCATGACTTCTTTGTCATGTTGAGGGTTGCGGCGACCCCTATCATGTTGATTCATTCGGGATTTTCTTAGTGGGCCCAAGCGTCCTTGAACTGGAGCCTTGCCTCGCTCATCGGGAAGTGGACCGAAGCGCTCCAAAACTGGCTTCTTCTTCCGGGATGATTCTGCGTGATCTTCCGGAGTAATTGTTGGAATCATCGGCGGTTTGGGTTGATTCGCCGGTGGTTGAACTTTTATTGGAGGCTGCTTTGGCCTCCATACTTAGCGGGTTGGTGATGGCTTTTTGGCCACTCTTTCTCCCTCCAATTTCTTGGCCTCCTGCACAAGAATTTTTGCTTGTGCGAGTAACGCGCGGCGTTTGTGAATCCGCTCTTCAAGTGTCGAACGGTTCCGTTTGACCCGGATCCATTCGTTCGTTGGCGGCTTGGAGGAGCCGCCATTCTTCAGTTGTTGAGGCTGTTTGCCTCCCCTGTTCTTCAGATCCGCGTTGTAGCGGACTCCGTCTGTAGACTCCATCGCCTTAGCGAATTGCCGCGCAAGGCGTTGACGTCGCCTCTGGCGGGCTCTCTTTGAGAGAGTCACAACGCCCTTAACAGTAGAGGCGTCGGCAAGAATAGGTTTGACCTCGTTGGAGGTCGGTGGAACTTTCTGCGCGACCACCAAAGTGGGAGCCGCCGCATACTCGGCGCTGCGCCCCCGTGGCCCGAATCATTCTCCCTCTTCTTC